TATTCCGTAGACGATGTCTTAGGTCGGTAATCATCTGGAATTATAAGTTGAACTTTTGTGAAACTAGATGGCGCTACCATATTATTAGCTCGCGATAATACTTTGCTTCACACTACAAGTTGTGCTACAAATTAACCTAGATGGCGTTACTAGTGAATTAATTCAGTAACGACATTTACAAACATTTCTTAGTTGTGTTCTAATTTAAAGAAATTCTACGGTAAAGTCAGAAGTCAAGTGGAAGCCATTCTGCGTTTCATCAGATAAAGTGTGCGTGCCAAAGGCCTAATTTTGGTCCCTTTCCCTTTCCATCATTTCCTTATAAGGAAAGAATTGGAGGGGAAAATAGATTAACGGCGGAGAAGACGTATAGGAAGGGATAATATCCTTTTTATGATTGCTCCTCCATCGATTACAGATCGGCATCCGGATTGGCAGATGTTTCGGGTGGCCGTTCGCTTGCTACCTTATCATATAAAAAACCTTAGACATGGACATTTGAAAAGACATCTTAAACAATTGCAATTGCAGATGTCTATGGGCAGTCGCTTCGCCATTTTGGCGGATTCAGGTGGCCGCTTGCTCGTTTGCCATCTTATGTTATAAAAACAAACCGTAAGCGGAAGGGTAATTAATGAAAGGCGGTAATCGTAGAAGTTAGCTATCGGAAGCAAACGATTATTTTCGCATTTAATAATTCAGTGATTAGACAACGTTGTATTAACCTGAGTACTGCAAAGTGAAACCAAGGTTTAAGGCGCTTGTTAGTACTAAATTACAGGTATTTAAATAGGACAGTGTAGATGTAATATTCATAATCTGTAAGTTAAATAACTATTATTAACTAGTAAGTATTTATCTCTAAAAGTAGACACTTCAAAACATATTAAAAACTAGCTGTTCCCGTGCGACTTCATCCGAAAAAAATTATAAAAATTATATTTTATTGTTTACATGTGTTAAATTATCAATTAATTTATTGCAAATGTCAAAATGACATGAGTACCAACCATGGCAACCTTGCTTCCTTGATGTTGGCAGCAACTTATGGTCTCTTTCCCACATTAGGGTTTTTATCCAAAATATTTACCCTCTAAGTTTAATGGCGTGAACATTATATAGCCTAAAGCATGACTTAAGTGTAGGGCTTTCTATTAAAAAAGGAATTATTCAAAAAAATGCTGTAATTGCTGACATCTTAGGCAACAAAGAAGTGTGTGTTTACGCTTTATTATAATAGTATAGAGTATAGATGTAATCGAGTAAATATGAAAAAACAAAATGTCCGTATACCACGGGAACCATAACTATTTCCAAGATCAGACTATGTGTTCTTCCAGACTGTAATGAGGTGAGCGTCTGCTGCTCAGTGGTTAAAGCACTTGACTTGTAATCTATAGGTCTTGGGTTCGAATCCGGCCGTAACAATTTGAGTTTCGATTTGTTTCGATTCATATGTACATTCCCCAACGTTCTCACGGTGTTGGAAAACATCGTGATGTCTTCACAAAACGGCGAAGTAATTCAAAGATTCGTGTGAAGTCAACCAACCCGCACTGGGCCAGCGTAATTGGCTATAGCCGAGGCACCTCAACTTGGGTTAGACTCCGAGCCCCGTGATACCAAATTTCGTAATCCTAACAGTTTAGGCCACAAAACAAAATTCCATCCATTCATACAAATTTATGTATAATACGAGCTGTTGCCCGCAACTTCGTCCGCGTGGTATTAGAAAACATACGAACTATATAGATTACAAAAAACTACGTATCCCTAGGGAATCGTTATTATTCCCGGGATAAAAAGTAGCCTATGTGTTCTTCCCGACTATGCTCTAAATCTGTGCCAAATTTCATGAAGATCCGTTCAGCCGTTTAGGCTACAAACGCTAACAAACATCCATCCATCCATCCATCTATCCATCCATCCATCTAAACTTTCGCATTTATAATATTAGTAAGGTTAGTAAGATAATTAGTAAGGTAGAAAATTATTGTTTCTATACAAGTATTGTATTATTGTTACTTACCGACGCATTGAATTCTACTATAAAAGGTCTAATTCTCGTATCCTGTTGAGTCCTTAAATGTTGAGGTCCCCACCACTCTTTTAAATCAACTTCAGGTATAGGAGGTGTTGGAGTAAATAAAGTTAGAAACGACACTAATATACTTAAAGAAGGCTCATTATTACCGAACATCTGAAAGAGAAAAGAATCTTAAGGGCCTGTCCCACCAAATTATAAATTGTCTGATAATATTCTAACGAGTAAAATGTGTAATGGAAATATCGGATTTTGTCACTTTATCCGACAATGACGTCATTGACAGTGGTGGAGAAATTGAAAATCAAAAGGTTAGCGTGGTATGGACATGTTATGCGACGAGACGATGGGGACATAAAACAGAAAGTGTTAAGATTGAACGTGGATGGCTACAAAGGTAGAGGAAGACCGAAGAAAGTATGAATGGATTGTGTGAAAGAGGATAGGCAGAAAAGAGTGGATTCAGACATGACGGCTTATAGAGATGTATGGAAGAGCAGCACATACTGTGCCGACCCTCCGTAAGGGATAAGGGCAAGTAGATGATGATGATCTGACAATGACGTCATTTATAATATATCTGAGCGTCTATCAGACAATGGTGGGACAAGCCCTTAGTATTTTAAAATACAGTAACAGTAATAGTTTGTTAAGGGCGGGAATATGTCAGTAAGTAGCTTCTATGTTAGTCACTGGAACGTTCCAGGTAATGTCGTAATGCGTACACATGACAGTAAGAGCGGGCCCCCCCTTGACTAAACTAACGCACAACTGTTGTGCGATTTTCGATTGTTTCGCAGCTCAACTGTTTAGTTGCACAACTAAAAATCTCCATATAAGCTCAAAGGAATTAATCCGAGACTAAAAAGTTTTGCGATAGTGTAGTCAAAGTTGTACTCGCTCTAAATTCACCAGAGTCAGAGTCAGGGTCCGAACACCTATAGACCCTTTACTTTTATATATGTCACAAAATCAAATATCTTATTAAATTCTTGCATACTAGGTTCAGTTTTCCCAGTTTAGCATAAACATGGCAGCTTTTGTATTCCCGGCTAACTGGATGAATTTATATCCTTTAAAACAACATTTTGTTGAATTTATATTCTTTTCAAATGTTGTTTTTAGGTATTTATTTACAAAAAAGACATAAAAATCGAATAGGAAAAAAATAACTTACCTCGTATAAACATAAATTAGAAGAAAACAAGACGAAATTGATAGATTTTTTTTTAAATATTTTACTGCGCGCACAAGATGCGTTCAAGCACATATAAGCACTAACTTAAACAACATTAAGTAGAACTATATACTATTGAATTGTTAGGATGCGTATTCATTGGTCTATAAAACGCTGTTTTATGACATAGAGTAGTTTATAAGGTTTTTATTAACTTTAGTTGTAAAATGTTTTATTACTCTATAATTACAGAATATCTATTAAGGACAACTAAGCAAGCAGGTAATTCTGGTAGTTACCAGTGACTTCATTCTTCAAACATTTTCATCTTGAAGGGAAATTATCTTCGATTTTTTTTGTGACTGAAAGGCCACTGTTTGCCTTGAGGCATTTACAGATTCACCGGGCTTGAGGTGGCCGAGAACAGATGGGGCTTAGCCTAAATCTCGTTTATGAGTAAATTATCTTCGAAATGAATTAATAATGCGAGCCTTACAGGGTTTTTTGATGAAAAGTGGGTTTAAACAGAACATACATACAGCCATTCATGTCTGCAAGTATAAAACAATTTGATTGCACAGATGGTTATAAATATTTACTGTTCCAAATCTTAGAACAAAACCAAAGTCTAAAATATGTAGAAATAAAGTTAATATACATATAAACGTTATTTAAAAAGATTATTTAAGTTTATCATATTTCTATAAACAGTAAAAACAAACTGTAGATTGAAAATAAATAGTCAAATGAACGTCTATTTTGTAGTAATGAAATTTTGCTATTACATCTTGACAGGCTTTTGTCTTTTTTATTATTTAAATAAGGCAAAAACAATGAATACTAGTAAATTAACAAGGTAACAAAATTTACAATCTGGATGTGACAATTTAACATACAATAATAATTTATTTCGTGAACACATTAAGCTAATATAGCGTTATTCAACATAAGAAAACCATTTTATTTCTACGCTTGAATACCGTTATATTCGCGGACTGTGCTTATTATTTCCTTAACTATCTAATCTAATCTAATTAACAGTGGTAGTGTCCGCTTTAACATCTTAACACTGCAGGGCCGGCACGCCCGGTGTAATACCACGACCACACAGAAGACAGGCGTGAAATGGAACCATTGCAGTGTTTCGTCTGATGAGTGTGGTGCCGAAGGCCTAATTTAAGTTCCTTTCTCTTTACCACTCTTTTCTTATAAAGAGAGGATAGGAAGGGGAAGTGGATTTGACGGTGGAGGAGATGCATAGGAAGGGGAAATATCCTTTCTATGTGCGTCTCCTCCTCCGTCGGATAAGGGTAGGTCTATGGGCAGCGGTCGCTTCGCCACTTTGGCGGATTTAGGTGGCCGCTTGTTCGTTTGCCACCTTATGTTATAAAAAAAAATTAATAATCAAATTTTGGAAAGGTTTGAATAAATCTTACTAATATTATAAAACTAATATAATATATGTCAAAGTTTAGATGGATGAGTGGATATTTGTCAGAGTTTGTAGTCTAAACGGATTTCGATGAAATTTGGCATAGATGTAGAGGATAGTCTGGAAGAACACATAGGCTAATCACTTTTGTTTTTTTCAATTCCACGCGGACGGAGTCGCCGGCGAAAGCTAGTATACAATGAAATTAATACACATAAATAGAATGGTAACAAATTTATATTTATTTACATGCTTATTTGTACTGTTATTTCAGATATCTGATTATAGGCGTCATAGAATGATTTCTAATATTTACTACAATACTATGTTTTGTATGAATCATAATTTTCTTTCATGTCATGAAGAGACATATAAAATATATTTGTCTGTTGATTTAATTGTATCCTACAGGCTAACCGTTTTAACTTGATCTTATTAATATTATAAATGCGAAAGTTTATAAGTCTGGAAGAACACACGCTCCTTATTTTTACATTCACACGGACCGACTTATGGGCAAAAGCTAGTATCTATGTCATTAAATAAAATTATTAGTCAATTGAGTAGTTCGTTTTCTCCATTTTAGAACAAAGGCCGCCATTTTTATACAACAGAGCATCTGTGTTCCCTAAAATAATAATTGACATGAATTTTAAACAAAAACGTAATTTAGCAAAACCGGTTACACACATACAACTACCGTATCAATTGTATGAAGTCAGGTACATGAGATATGAATACAATATCAATTGAAAAAAATAACTCAATCAGTGTGTTCGCGTACGTAGACGGAGACGGTCGTGTTTGTTCCAATTCAAGGCCAAGGTTAGTTATTTTATACCGTAAATTATAGTGCATTATCGCTTATGTAAATTTTAAATTATGATAATTGCTTCTATTTCTTTTTTGTAAGAATTTAAATATCACATAAAGTAATAATCGCAGTTCAAAATCCATTTAGTATACGATTAGATAATGTATTTATCGAATGGATTCTTGCTATAGCAACAGTAAACATGTTTGATTCTTTAATTTATATTTTTATTTGTAAATTAATTCTGAATTTATTAGAGCGTTACTAAAAATTCTTGTACTGTGGGTATTCTCGTATTCGCAGTAAATATTGCTATCTCATTTTACATAACAGAGTGAAAGAGACATAACTATGATTTTTGCGAATATCGACGGTGGTAACCCAAGATGATACCGGCATATTGTAAACATTGGCTTGTAAATTCTTCACTACATACACATTTTTAAAACTACGCAACGTATTTTGATGCAGTTTTTTTATAGATACAGTGATTAACAAGAAAAGGTTTTCTGTACTAATATTATAAAGAGGAAAGATTTGAATATTTGGATTTTCGTATGTATTGAAATAAATCAACTACTGGGCCGATTTCAAAAATTTTTTGACAATGAAAAAGTTACGATATTAATGGGTAACATAGGTTATATTTTTTATTACTTTTTTAATTCGCAAAGTCGCATAATATTGGTAATTTAGAGGTTTCTATAAATAAACACATTTTCATATCAAAATCGGACTCGTGCAGTCAGGCAGGTCGCTAGTAAATGATAAATAGAACACTATTAAAAACCGCTCTTTAATATTAAATGATCATTGGTTAGTTCAGTTTATAATATACTTAGTCGAATTGTAAACTAACAAATTTCACATTAAACGGTGATACTATTCAAATGTTGGAAAACATAAATCTTAATAATATTCTAAATGCAAAAGTTTAGATGGATGGATGTTTGTTAGAGTTTGTAGCCTAAACGGCCGAACGGATTTCGATGAAATTTGGTACAGATGTAGAGGATAGTCTGGAAAAACACATAGGCTACTCACTTTTGTTTTTTTAATTCCACGCGGACAGAATCGCGAGCGAAAGCTATTCACTATATAAAGTAAAACGAAGTTTTCAAGGTCATTAATGCCAGGGGTGGCAAAACAGCGGCTCGCAATCGTAACAAACCGCCTCATCATTTTTTACAATAAAATCGTCTATCTCATTGCCTTGTTTAGTCATGCAAAGCATTATCTCAAGTCATTGCTGATAATTTTGCAAATCATTGACCAAAGTCTTTATATGTTTTACGTAACACTGAAAATAATTGAATACGTTTTATGACCGGTTTCCCATCTACGTTAAACCATTCGTTAGTGTTTTAATACGTCATCATCATCCACTTGCCCTTATCCCTTACGGAGGGTCGGCACAGTATGTGCTCTTCCATACATCTCTATCAGCTGTCATATCTGAATCCACTCCTTTCTTAAGCATATCCTCTTTCACACAATCCATCCATACTTTCTTCGGTCTTCATTAGATTCATCATCCACTTGCCCCTTACGGAGGGTCGGCACAGTATGTGCTGCTCTTCCATACATCTCTATCAGCTGTCATATCTGAATCCACTCCTTTCTTAAGTCTCTTTCACACAATCCATCCATACTTTCTTCGGTCTTCCTCTACCTTTGTAACCATCCACATTCATTCTTAACACTTTCTGGTTTATGTCCCCATTGTCTCGTCACATAAAATAGTATTTTACTTCAGGAACCCACTATTAATAGTGTAGTACATTTTATTAAATAAAAAGATCATGACCCCGGCCTTATACCACCCACGTAATGTTGCGTAATGTGAACACTAACTGGCGCCAGTACATGCAATCTACTTTGCGGAGTAACTGTCCAACTGGCCAAGTGCGAACTGGGTTTTATTTTTACGGCCGGCAACTAACCTGTTGCAGACCCTAATTGGATTCAGTCTTAACAGATAATGTTAACTAAAATATTGAAAATCTAACTAGTTAAAAATTAAAGAGTCAATCTAGGACTATTTTAAATGTTACTTCTTACTAATATTATAAATGCAAAAGTTTCGTTAGATGGATGGATGTTGGTTAAAATTTGTAGCCTAAACGGCTCAACAGATCTCTATGAAATTTGGCATAGATGTAAAGGATAATCTGGGAGAACACATACGTTTCTCACTTTTTTTTAATTACACGTGGTTGAAGGCGCGGGCGAAAGAGTTCAAAATAAATTGCGAATAAGTAAAAGCTTATAGCATATATCAGTATAGCAAGGAACCGCAAAATACTAATTTAGTACCAATAAAATTACACGTCTTGACAAAAAGATTAACTGGCAAGTAATCATAAGTTCTTACTCCTTTGGAATCCTATTAGGGTGAGTTGCATCGAATCGCCGGTTATCGTAAAAGTTATAGTTAAAGTTAATAGGGTTACAAGTGCAAAAACATATTCTCACAGAGG